CTTTTATACTGTTTAGCACGTAGCTATTTATTATTAGCATTATTCTTCCGTCGTCTGATTTCTTTTTAATTATAGGAAATGCGTTTTTCTAAGGTACATAAACTTTTGGGATTGACTGTATAGCCAATACATCCTTACATCGCCATGGAAATTAAATCGCAGTCTAATTCACGCATTTTTTGTTTACTCGCCCAAATTTCATTGGCAGGCAAAACCCAAATTTCAAGTGCTTCGTTTTCTTGTTCGTAATTCTTAAAACGAGTCGTCGTATCGTATATAAGGAACAAAGATAGCGGGGATTTTTTTTTCTTGATATACAATCGAAAACCGCTATCCGGTCGGTGTCAGACGCAGATTACGATCGGTAAATCGTCGAGATTCCTTTCATCTCGCATTGAATGCGTGGGCGTTTCGCGGCACGATTCCCGCGGAAAGTAGTTGTCAATGGCAGCGGCCACGCGAACCATGGAACCGATGCAGGCAACTCCATTCATGGAGACCTGAACGCGCAGGTAGACACGGGATCTCCGAGGTCACCGATGCCACGACGACCACGACCCACCTCAACAGTCGTCAAACCAGTCCCGGTATACCCAAACAGGTTACTTAATTTACCTCGGCTCGGAACGAGCCACCGATATCAGTTATTAAGATGCTATTCGGTATGATTAGTGACCGTTGATCGACTTTCCGATTCCGAGTAGCCATAAACGTTTTTTATCCCGAGTGGAAACTTGTTAACTAGCGAGCATTTTTCGTTCGGCCGACGCTCGATTTCAATCGATAGGGACAACCGAATCGTACGTAATAATGTAATCGACGAATTAATCAAATTGCGAGAATGAACTCGTACTCACACGTTGGTCTCGTCCTGTTCGGTCTCGTCAATGGTATCCATGGTCGCTGTGGTGGATGATTTGCAGTAACTGTAAGCAAAAACGCGAATCATTAATGACGACGTTGTGGAATACGACCAGTAATTTCGCGTTAGATCGTATTGCTCAAACACGATCCGCGTGCCCCGGTGCATAAAGAAATCGTGTTAAATAGCAGTGTTTCGCCGTTTTAAAACCTTGGAATACCTTTCGAAAATGGTCGGATAACTAGAGGAATGAGTAAAAAAGATGAAAAGGGGGACAGATGTCGTCGGGAGACGCACGCGTGATGGTGCTCGGCCGAGATGCGACGACGAGCGTGTTCCGCTCGTTCTTGCGACGGAACGCGGAGGGCAGAGAAATTGCGGAATACACGAAGAAGTGGATGTAGCGAAGGGCGTTAACGACTCCCCGGAAATGGTGGTAACAACCTTGAGACCCGGAGACGTGACTCAACTCTGACACAAATGGCGGTACATTAGACGAGTGGCTGGCTGGGGCCGAGGCGCGAGGGTAATCAGAATTAACAATTCAAAGCCCCCGACGTTGTACCGGAGCTCGGCGCGATGGGCCGAAGACTGGCAAGAGTGCTCTCTCTCTCTCTCTCTCTCTCTTTCAACTTCTAGCACCGACCGAGCCAGTTGACGGTAGTCATATTCCAGCCGAGGAAGCGAGAGAAAGAGAGTGAGACCTTGCTCCTCTCGTGAGCCGTAATTCGTTCGTGCCGCCGTTCGATGCATTTCGTTTGCTAAATTCGCCTTACGTCGCGTCACGACGAGCTTGTCCCCGACAGAATTCCAACTTTGGCGAACGTTCCGCCGGAAATTGGGCTTAACTTCCTATTTAGTTTTCACGGGGAGTTTCGCAAGTTCACAACTATGCGGTAAGGATCAATTCCAGAAGGTCTGTCCGGGGGGACGTTGGAGAATTTCGCGCGTCGGGTAACTTTCAACTATTTCGACCCGTGCCCGTTTAATCGTGGAAATCGTTCTTTTCGCCAGCAATTAATCTTAATTACCGACGGCGTACGATTTAAATAATATGAGAAAGTAATGGTCGAGTGAACTCCGAACGAGAGAACCCGCGATCGGTGTAAACGATATCGCGGGGCGTTACAACGTTTCAAACCGGAGCAATCGTGAATACTGGATCGCGCTGACTAGGTTATTCTTAATTGCGAAACCGGCAAAGATTCGAATCTCTTTCGTCGTAAAGATGCCTCCGTGAGAGCGCTCATCAAACTAGTTCATTACACCTGCTTCTTCTAATGACTCTCACTTACGGGAATCCACCACGAGTGCGCTGATAATTAAACCGTTTAACGAATATCGTTCGGCGACCTGAATATCAGCCATTGAATTACCTAACGCGGGACGAGAACCAGATTACACGGTCGACGTTCAAACGCGTTTATTTCAATTCCTTTTTTTCTATTCTCACCTGGATTTAATATTATTATTGAACGTACATATCGCGATACAAATTGTACGCTGCACAATATCTTTCTGATTGCTCAACCCATTAGCGTCTATATGCATATGCAGCGTACGTTCTGGTACCAAAGTACAAGTTGGATCGATACACACCATCGTTTCAGACTGTTCTTTACTATGTGAACCATTGATATTTATTTTTATAATGATGGTAATATGGTAAACAGCGGGACAGTCGTGCAGTAGAGTAGCGAAACGTTAGAGGAGCTAATTCCATGTAAATGTACGCAGATACACATAGAAAGGTAAGCGTGGAAATTTCGTATAGGAGCATCTTGTATATCCTGCGAAGCGTACGCACAGCGACAATTACTTGATACGTCGCATTCCACGAAGTCTTACAAACCCAATCAAGATCTCCGTTCCGGATTGGCTCAACGATATCTAACCGGGGTAACCAACAGTGTAAATGAAAGTAGGAAGCGACCGGTCGGTGTGTAATTCTCGGTAGAAGGTGTTCAACCTTCTTGTTTCGTTCGCTTATCGCTTTAAACAATTTTTACAGTGAGAACGTTCGTTCGGGGATCAGCATCGTTCATGGAAACACGAGCCACGAAAAAATGCAATTTAATTAATGGGAAGCGAATTCGAATTTTGGTCGTGTTAATTAACTAAAGTTAATTGCCTGAGAAATGGATTCGCGCTGTAATTAGTTGAACGAGCGTCAACGCTTTAGGTTCTTGGATTTGTAGTTTGATGGTATCTCTCTATTTGGCGGGAATAATGTTTAAAGAAGTCGTTTGAAACGATTGATTACGTTGATTTTGATGGTGCAGGAATTTGGTACGTGCGACGCCAGCGTGTCGACGTACACAGGGGTTAATGGTATCGCGCGTAATGAAAGGGTAGAGAGCCGATCAAATCAATAATTACGATAACAGGGTTACGATAACGGTATCGGCGCCACGTTTCGTCGCATTTGATTTAGAGGTTGACAATTTCCACGCGCATTCCCTTACCCTAATAATAGGCGATCCGACGAAGATCGACGGTACGTCTAATTGAAATTTTCTCCCGACTTTTGCCCCCGCGAATCAGCAAGATAAATTGAGATATTTCTGCTTGTCCAAAGATTGTTCCAACAGTACTCGGCATCGCGATCAAGTGGCACCGGCGTTCGTCAGACAATAATCGGTTGGTTTGCCGCCGGTTAGCAGCCAAATCGGAAAAGTTTCTGCGATCCCCGCGTCGGATGAAGAACCTTTCTTCGGTAGAACTGTCAGCAACTCGGATTAGTTTTAAAGTTGGAGCACGGTCCACCTTTCCTCTGTCCCATCGGTCAAATATATACCTCGCGATGTTCTGATAAACTTTTCCACGGACAACTTCTTCTCCCGTTGTCTCAACTGAATTTACAGTTTGCGCAAAGTAATATGCACTTGAATGCATTCTGAAAGCTGAATGCCAATCGTCAGGTGTCGTAAGTAAGTAAAAGTTCATGCGTTGATCAGAGCACTCCGTGGACCAATCTATTTTCTCATCTCTCCACTTCGCATTTTCCTCTTCAATTTCATTTACTTCTCGCACTGCTCCATTTTTTGTTTTACACCAGCAAGAACCGAGGCGTAAAGCTCGGTATTTATGAGATTACTCTTGAAAGGGTCGATCCATTTTCAGAACGCGGTCTATGGCATACCGGAGCACCTTATTATCTGAAAATCCAGGATACCCCTCGGATAGATACTCTTTCCGGCTATATAGACGTGGCCTTTTTATCGATCTTCTTCCGCCTCGCCCGTTAGGCGTTGTCTCTATTTGCCGTCGTCGTGGCAAGTGTCCACGCGGACATTGAAATTTGATCAGGTGCGAACGTTCAAGGGCCACGTTCGTGTGTACTTGGTTATTTAAACGATTCGCGAGATGGCAGGGTCGTACGAGCGAATACGAGGAACTCGCGATATGTAACATTCTTTCAAACGGTCCCGGACGGGTTGAAAAATTATCGCAGCGCGCAGACCGAGATGAGACGCTCGATCATTCGAACCGATGCAATTCGACGCGAGAAGTTGACGGATGAAAGGGTAAAAGGCGCTACCGTTGTTCAATGTCCTGCACGGAAATCGAACCATTCAAATTTTCGTTTACCCATTAATCTTGCATCGTTTCCACGTTCCGTTACCACGACACGGTATAAATTTGTCGTCCGATAGAAAAATACAATTTACAAATATACCCCGGAGAGCAAAACGTTTATGGTATCGGTTTAAAACTACGATCTCTGCAGATTTATTCATCTCATAAATTCCCAAGGAATCAGCCTTTTTGGCAAATTTTTTTAAGTCACTCTTTGGTCAGGATTTTATTTACTGAAAATACGTGTCGGTGAGAATAATTTAGGAAAATCGGGAATGCAATCGATGAGAAAGAATGGAGGGGGGCGGTGGGTAGGGGGTCCAGAGCGAACCATTTGCATTGAAGTATTGGGAAGGGGACGGAGGGTGGTTGCCTTTATGCGATGCCGTTATATTGTTCCTGGGACCCCTTGACATCGAGCCCCGAAGTGTTTCGCGTGGGTACCTACTACCGAGCCTTTCACGGTTCGAACGTGTGTGCGCGTGAAAATGCTTCACGTACACTTGCATACACGCACCTTAGCCGGCCCATTTCACCAACAATACCGCTGAAAATCGTACGAGTGCTATACTTCAAACCTGAACGAAGCGCTCGCGCCCGTCGGGGATGTACGTGTATATTCCAAGCTTCACCCTTTTGTCGTACCCATTGTTCGCGTGATATACAAGCGCGCAGTTTTTGAAAGCAAAGGGACCCGAATGAATTTTGCAAAAACTACCTTTCGCGTCGTAATCTTGACCCGAACGACTCTCTCTCTGTCTCCTTCTCTGTTATCTTGCTCTCGTGCCAGAAATAACAGAAAATAGATTACGTCGTTACGTCATGAAAGAGATGATAATTTATTTCATACGACTGTTCGAACGCTGAATTATTTGACAACCGTTTCAAATTTTATGCACGAGTGCTGTTTGGTGAAAATGGACTGCGAGGCTACGGTATTCGCGTGCATCGAATTCTTCTGCGACTTCCACGTCGCATAAACAATGCAACAGTATTTGAATATCCATCAAACATACTGGGTGTACGCGAGCAAGAATACGTGACTCATTCCCGACACATCAAACGGACGTCAGGCCTTTATAATGCAGCGGTTTATGCCCGGTGGACGACATTCCTACCTTCGTATGTCAAACTTTATTTCATTTTACTTTTTAATGAACGCACGACGTTTGAACATTCATGGCATATCAAACTGGAAGGAACGAACACAGAATTCCACTTGTACACGGAACATTGGTCTCTACTTTGAGCATAGGCTATTTTTCTAATCCGGAATTATCTCAAGAAATTCATCCGTCGCTGTTTGAACGAGCGTCCAATTGAATCATTCGTCGATACGAACCGACAGTATCACAACGTGTTATTCCCGTATTGTAAAAAATTGTGAAAGCGATAAGCATTATGCGCTCGCGTCGTTGCTAGACGAAATACGTCTGAGTGGTTTTATTCGAAAGCCGCGGCGAAAGGGAGAATGAGGGGAATACA